TTGGGCATCGGATGGACACGTGGATTGTGCGGTGGATCGGGATCAGGATGGATGCAAGTGCACAATCGCACTGGGATGTTGCGGGATGGATTGTTTATTTTGGCACGGCCAAGCATCGTTCGTGGGGGTGACGTATGGGAGTAGGATCATACGCCGGATGTACGTACGGATGCTGACTGTCCGCCTTCCATCTGCAACGTAAAGGAATATCTAGTCAATCTCTTCTGTGATTTGCTGTTCTCTTTTACTAGCGATGTATATGATGTCATAACGCGAAGTCTATATAAGTTCCTGTTACTTCTAATATCGGTATCAGTAGTCTGAGATTTACTTCTGAGACTGCTTCTAATTACAATTTCCTAGTGTTGTGAACTGTGATGTGAATTGGATAAAGAGACAGCAATACTTGTTCCTTCTGGTGTACATGATCGCTCCCGGATTATTGCATAGAATACAGGTTTGCTCGTGACACAATCGTCCTAGCTCTTGCCGATCCTCACAGGACTTACGACCGGAAGTTGTAGTTAGCTCGTTCCTGAGGGATTCCTGATCTTCTCGTGTTCCTGAATCGTTCGTCCTATTTCCACCATAGTTCTTCTGTTACAGTTTGAGAGTATGAGTGCCTACCGATTGAGCATTACAGGCGTGGAAGAGTAAAGATTGTTCATGGAGCCTTAATCGGCGTGAACGCTTATACACGACACTATCAGCGATTTTATTCGTTTTGCGCTATCAGCGACAGCAAGTAAATAGTGCTCACAATGTAGTAGACCTTGTTCTCATCCGAATCAAACTCGCACGCTACCACGCTAGCGTTTTCAGCTAGGCCATTTTGCCGCGTTTTGCAGTTTCCAGTCTTCTGACGTACGAGATAAAGCGCTTGCCGCCCCTCTTTTCGGTAGTATGGATCTATTATTCTATTGATTCTATTATTATGCTGTGAAAAAGCGATAAAACGTGCAGTATGTACAACTAAATATGTTTACGATGTTATAATTTAAAACGAATATACAAAATTTCGGAAATGGTAAAGTGTTTGACGGCAGTCTGTCATGCAATGGCTAAAGCTTTACTTTTACTGCAGTAAAACCATTGCGATTGTCAAATTAGTTATTTCAAACGATAGCAGCACCATTCTCGTGAAACTTGCCGGAAAATTTGAAGAGGTGTCCCAATTAAAGATATCGTGTTAGAGTGCATGTTGGAAGTGATAATAGAATGAACGGTACCAGGAATCCATCCATGAAAAGCTAGAAGAGTTCTTAAAAAAAACTGCACTGTTAGACACTGGCCAATTTTATTGGCTGACCTAAACAGAAACTTAATGCACAAAGCTTTCTAACGGCTAGAAAGTTCTGCCAAGGAAAGCTGAAGCAGCGTTATAACATCTACGATAGCCATGCAGACAGCATCACGAAGGTAGTACAGAAATGCAACGTTTCCGGTTGCCGGTTCCGATTCAGTTCAGTTCACTGTACAGAAAGACCCCAACCGACCGGTGTAGCACTTAATTTTCCATTTGCCAGCTAAACTACCTGTTGCGCTGCAAAGTGGTTGTGGCTGCTGATTGCTGAATATTCGATCAAGCGCTGCAATTTGAAACTGCCACATGAACAGAAATTGCGGCGCGCTTATTAATTAAAAAACTTAAATTTAATACGCTCCCACCGTTAAGTTCGCACATATTTCGTTGTGAAAGCGTATCTAAGGCGAGCTGGATTTCGTTTTCGAAACAACACGGCAAATTAAGTAAACTGCGGCTGTTTTTATTCTGACGAACCTACGGTGATCTTAAGGTTCGTAAGTAGGAGCTGCATGTGAAGACGGGTAAACTTGAGTAGAAGATCTGTTACCAGGCATTTGTGGTACGAGGCAAGCGGCAACTCTTTCCCATCGCTTTAGTAAATTTTATCACTTTCCCCGCTGCATCTTACCCGTGCGCAGGCGCTCACGTGATATCGTATCTATTCACCATTGTAATCAGCGCTTACTTAGCCGGCGATAAAATCTCACCTGCCGTCCTCTTCGCTATATTCTTTATCAGTCTGCGTAATCAACTATAGCTGCAAAGCGGTTTATTAGACGTGAAACGGCTGAAATCAAGTATCACGTGAGCGCCTGCACACGGAAAGATGCAGCGGGGAAAGTGATAAAATTTACTAAAGCGATGGGAAAGAGTTGCCGCTTGCCTCGTACCCAGATTCCATCTTGATTCCACCCTCACACTGATACATCCACACAAACGCATTACCCACGTCGGACACCGGGACTGCGTTGGGAAACGGTAGGCAATCAACTGGCGAGAGCTGGACTACTTACATGTACTAAGTATTTATATTAAGCGCTCTTATTGTTCTTAAGTAACACGAATAAGAAGGTTGAGTAATGAGCTTTTAGTAATAAGCTTCCAACAGTCATGGCTCCTGGTCAGTCCTTTCGATATATGTAATAACTTTCTGACCGCTGTAAGTGGATAATTCGATGAACTGACTGGCTCAGGGGTTTCACTGGTTTGAGCCCAAGCATTCATTCATTCCGAGGAGCAACTTCGGTTTCAGATGCTTTGGTAGTAACTTCAAATGCTTACTTCATGTTAGTGACAAATTCCTAAGAATTGATTCAGATTCACGTGACCATCGATGCTGTTGACGAACAAAGTTTTTCGTTTATATGTCCATATGACGGCATTCCTTGTATGTATTCGAACTTGTCAAGCTTCTACGTATTCGAATTTAGCAAATTAACTAATGTTTCCAATTAACGTAATTGATGCTTAAACTTTTGTTTCCAGATGAGCGAAGTGGAGTCGAATATTTAATCAGACGAATCACCATCTGGATTCTGGACTACCAATGACCAGATCACCGATAAAGGTCTCCAGTTAATAAGGGTCGCAGTGCTACCAGCATCCACATCGCATCTACTGATCAACGTCCCAAAGTCCACCCCGCCCACCGAACATCATTATCCATCCCCCGACCAACAGGACGGTGGCATCATCTTCCAATTCCGCATTACCCCGCTCACGACGCCATGATGGATTCCTGAAGAACGGGCAAGTACAGATAAGTGCACGTGGTAAGATCGCATTCTGCGGTTGAGATCCCACTACGGCCTGATTAACACCGGTGTACGTTGGACTGACAAGACTGGTGTTTGGCCGCCATTTCCCAAAAGGCCTTGATGCTACTCCGGGGCTTCACCGTGCTGGCCACGGTGAAAAGTATTAATTACCGCGGATGATGCTCTCTTGAATGAATGTCACAACGTCTGTGCTGAAAAACGCTTGATGGAATAGTACAAATCCTCAATAGGCGGAGTCTCATGAAAGTGACAGCGACCGAACCGGCAGCGATCTTAAAGGCTAACATGGAGGATCTGTTTCGGACGAAAGTCAACTTTCACGGAAGCTCTACAGAGCAGATATTTGCGGACCTGCCAGCGGTAGACAAACCACGTCATCGCTCCATTCCTGTCAGTGATCCACCTAGGCAAACCCTCCTTTACAGCAACCGGACACACCGTAAATCCATAAAGTCAAATGACGACCACAACGCCGTCACCCGATTTCCCCAGAAATCCGCACCGAATGCCTTTTGCAGAAGCGGTGATCGCATTTGTGGTGCAAAGCCGCGATAACTGCCCACCATATTGCCCGGAACTGGATGGAAGTATCAAGTACCTATGTACACCAGTAAACTTTATCCAGCCTCGACGACAATTTCGTTTCAACTTACAAACCGGAAATCTGTTTTTTAGTTGGGTCAGGTTGAAAAGTGTGATACAACCTTTCAACCTCACGCAAATAAGAATCAGATTTTAAATTTGAAAGCGAGCCATACAAAGAGCTCTAGCCCTTTGCTTGGATGTTCTCAGAAACATGGGTAAGCGGATTAATCAACTGTGGAATCATCAATCGCTCCAGTGGGAGCAACTGGAGCAGTCCGTTTTTTATTTCGTTTTAATCGTTGCAAATTGCAGTGATTGATCAGGGTAAATTATTTAGATACATTTTACTTTCGAACGGGTAGGTACCGCCGTACCGGTAGTTATACAGTGTATAGTCTAGAGCGCGCAAAATAGGTGGTCTCAATATTTGCAACAATTAACCGGTGTTTTTTGTCATGTGCTCTCTAAACGCATGTCCGGACGAGCGGTATAGCATTGGCGTAGATGCAGTTCGTTTTCATGTACACTTAACAAAGTTGTTAGAACACTGAATGCTTGACAATAACTTTATAACTGTCACCGTCCATCGGACAAGGCGACAACCTCTAAGCCCGCCTCAGGGACAAATGAATCCTGGAAGCGATGAAGTTGAATGTAATGCATGGCTACGTACAGTATTGTGCTTTAGTGAGTGACATTCATACCACCCTTAAATGAGCTGTGCATGAGCCATGAACCAAAGCCACCGTTGCCCTGTTGCCCTGCAAATCGCTGCTGCCGACAACATTTCCTCATCACAATAACTGTCAAGTGTAGAAAAGATGGTGAATCCCCGTGAATGTGCCGGTAAAGTTCATGCGTTTTCATTTTTTTATTGGTGGATATTCATCCATCAAAAGCCAATTCGCCGGTGACTAAGCGTGTCATGCAAAACTGATCATGCAGCCAGCGTTTGCTCAGTTTACGGGAAGGGTTATGGTTCCCAGCAGCATCATGACGACATGGATTCAACTATACGCCCAAAGGAGGGACATGCCGGGTGTACTTGGGCATTTCGTTCGATTTCCTCTCCTGATTATCCAAAAACCGGCTGATCGTCCTGGCGACTGATCGTTTGCAAAAGAATGTACTAGTATGTACACAGAAAGCCAGCTAAGGGGATTCAAAAAATTTTAAATTATTTCTGCACCGGCCCTTGTGCTAATTACGTGTTTCCGGCATCTCTTCGTAGCTGAATAAAAAGCACTTAAACTTTCCTAGCCGTTAAGCACAACTTCTGACATTGTAATCCAGGCTGTGTATTATTTTATTAATTGTACCGTCTTTGTACAAATAAATTTCTTACGTAAGTACAGCACCGGCATGCTATCTGAGCGAAATTGCAGCCTAACCAGCAAAAGTACAACAGTACATGACTGGTTCTTATTAATTTATACATAATAACCAAACTACGACAGTGACAAGCAAGTTCACAGTTTAACATTGTAAGGGACGTCATCAGTCATCGAGAGTTTCATCACGAGATTACAACACATAAAAGCCTGAAGCTGGTCCCATTCTGACTTAGCAGTTGTCCCGGCTCAAATTCCAACAAAAAATCCGCATGTACACGTTTACTTCCCTCTAGATCTTCAGATACAGTACGTTCATCGGCCGTTGGAAACGAATACTTCTGTACTTCCAGCGACTCGTTAAGTCAGCACACGTGCGCACATATCCGGTCGGTTTCTGTGTTGCCATGGCCGGCGCCGCCCAGTCGGCGTGTTCGACCAACAGCCGCACCCCCAAGAAGCTGTTGTAGGCAGGACCGTGGTAAGCCAAGAACGGACTAAAGAACCTGCAGGCGCATGGGTCACCAAAGAGCGAGGTCCATTAAAGTATACTAACCAAGGAGTTGTGCTCGCGTTTGTACTTTATTGTATTTTGATGGCTACTGCGTAATTTTAAAAAGAGTTATTACTATAATAATGCTAGTCGAATGCCGTGAATTAGCGGACAGTTATCCAGATGGCTTACCATGATTCAAAGTCGTAGCCGACAACCAGCCAGGTGCTTCTGCCAAAAGAGAACTGCCATAACACGGTTTTTCCAGCCAGGCGTTCAAACAGTTTCCGAGAAACTGTAGTGTCACAATGATTACAGTCATCCCTCCATCCTCATAATTGTTACACTTGAGTTCGCACACATTCCATGTGACAGCATATCAAGAGTGAGTTGAACTTTCTTCGGTTTTCGCATCTGAATAAACAAAACAGGCCGAAGATATTAAAGCCAGATATGACCTTGTTCCATAATGTGCCCTCAGGAGTCGGACTCGTGAACGGCATGGAAAAAGGAGTTTTCAATGCCTTTAATTCTGTGAACGATTATACCAAAAACGTTGAACACTCCAGTTTCCATGCCGACTACGTTGCCGGTTTAGGAAACAATCCAGAGAATACAGCGAAAGACGCGAATACTGCAAATTTCTTCGATAAAAATGATTCATATTTATACTTCCGGTGCTTCTTAATGTGCAGCCATACTTCGGCAGGGCTCCTAAATCCTGTCATGGCAACCTCCGCTCGCCGACAGCCATGACTGCCGCAGGAGTGTCTCCTCCTACAACGCTGAAGAAGAGACGCTTCCCCGTCGGTTTTTACCATCTCCAGAGCACGTTCAGCGTCCAGACCAACCAGGCCGCCGATCGGGTGCTCTTTCGGGCACCGGTTAGTCAGAATGCTGATCTTCATTCCACTTGGCTGGAAAAGGATTTGCCGGCAGGAACGGTGCTTGACTGATTCCACCTAGTGACAAATGCGCCGTCAGAAAACTCTACTGCAGGTTCCCCGACGGAAGTTGTAGCTGAGCGTAAATCATCATGCTACTGTACTCTGTAGTTTTAACAACAATAATAATAACTAGTAGACCCCGCGCAAACTACGTGGAATATGTAAGTAAATCACCGATGTATTAACGTTAAATGCAAAAAATATCACCGTTATTTTACTTATAGAATACAGTGGATGACAAAAATAATTAAACATGTGCCAGTCGATCTGCGGTAGCGTCTCATCTACGGATCCACCAACTTTTGTCGCCCTTCTGCCTGGCTATCATATTAAACATACTGCGCTCGAAATCAGCGATTCTGCAATCGACCCTAGACCACAAGAAACGCCGCGGCGAAACTGTTTCGTGTACCACATAACTTAAAGCAGTATAGCACTTTGCATGCCGCCATATTGCTGTCATGGTTGGAGATAAAGTGTGTACCATTACTATGTAGTTAAAAAACTAACAAATTTGATGTAATCTGATCTACTCACTTCCGTGTCGAGACATACCTTCGTTCAAGTGTAGGCAGACCGCCACTGACACGATCAGCCTCGTTGAAGCTGAATGTCCACTCTTAGACGACCACAAAACGCTCGCACGGCGTTTTGTTTTTGCAAAATCTGCAAAACAATCAGTAGAAGATTTTCCGTAATTGGTATCACAACTTCCGCTATTCAAAAGGTTTAAGTCTTCGTGTCTGAATTTGGCGGAAGGCTCGTGCTGCCTTAAGGTGGCTACCTGTTTTTTGAATGCGGTGCCGCATTCAAAAAACATTTACACTAGTTATTTAACCGTTATCTAAAAGTAAGTATTAAGTGCTAGTACTGCATAAGTCTTGCCAGTTGGAATTCGCACGAAGTTAACTTCGCATTACGCAGAACTAACAAACAGCAACAACTAAGTTTGAATATAGCGCTGCTTTTACTACAGTAAAGCAAAGCAACTGTCAAACGATAGGAGCACCATTCCCGTGAAACTTGCCGGAACATTTGAAGAGGTATCCCAACTAAGGATATCGCGATCGTGTGCCTGTTGGAGATGATAATAGGATGAAGAACCAGAAATCCATTCATGAAAAGCAAATTGCGAAGCTTTTAAATAAAGCTGCGTTGTTAGAGTTAGACACTGGCCAATTTACAGGCTGGCCTCATTAGAAAAATGGACAAAACAGAGTAAATTTTGATAACTCTTAGCGTTTTTTTCGAAAAAATTATTAAAGGTTCAAATTTCCGAGTGATCGAAATTTGCAGTTTTTTCTGAGCTTTCTAACGGCTCGAAAGTTCTGCCAACGAAAACTGAAGCAGCGTTATAGCATCTACGATAGCCATGCGGACAGCATCACGAAGGTAATACAGAAATGCAACGTTTCGGGTTGAAGGTTCGGATTCAGTTCAGTTCACTGTATAGAAAGATCTCAACCGACCGATGTGGCACTTATTCCACCTGCCAGCTAAACTACCTGTTGCACTGCAAAGTGGTTTTGGCCGCGAAATATTCGATCAAGCGCTGCAGTGCGCAACTGCCACGTGAACAGAAATTGCGGCCCGCATATTGATAAAAAATTTATTTAATGCGCTCCCACCGTTAAGTTATGTATTTCAGTGTGACAGCGTAACTAAGGCGAGATGAATTTCGTTTTTCGAAACAGCAAGCCAAATTATGAAGCTAACTGCCGCTGTTCTCAAGCTGACGAACCAACGGTGATCTGAAGGTTCGTAAGTAGGAGCTGCATGTAAAGACGGATAAACTGAGTAGAAGATCTATGACTATTACCAGGCATTTGGGATTGGATCTTTATTCCACCCCCACACCGATGCATCCACACAAACACTTTACCCACGTCGGACACCGGGACTGCGTTGGGAAACGGTAGGCAATCAACTGGCGAGAGCTGGACTACTTACCATACATTTGCTTTGTATTTATATTAAGTGCACTTATTGTTCTTAAGTAACACGAATAACACACACACCATTTCGACAAGCTATCGTATCCTGTTTTCATCACTGAATCGCCAATTTGGACGACAGTTGATGCCGCGCCGTTAACGGTAGCAGCAGCTACCGTTTCCCGGCGGTGGGACAATTGCCGGAACGGCTCTGGCAAAGGCTTGCTGCAAAAATAATCAAATTTCATTGCCATACAAATACCAAATAAACTTTTCTACAAACCTGAAGGTCGTCTGATATCTGTATTGTTTTCTTCGTTAGCCATCAATGGCATACAGCCATCAATGATATTTGTGTGCCATTGATGGCTAACGAAGAAAACAATCATCGAAAAAAGCCCTCGCCGTTACTGGCCGTGCAGAGGGTCTTCCTCGCCGGGGATGTGGCCAATAAGAACATTCTGGCCATCGTAACGAAGAACATGGATTGTGAACGGATCAGGTGGGCAATTGCTGGTTGTAGCCAAGATATCGCGGGTGACGGATACACCTGACTCTCGGTGGCGGACCAGTGGGCCCTGGTGGGCGCTAATATCGGAGAACGCGTTGGAAAATTTTGATTTGCCAGGTTCTGCATCGGCCATCAGCGCCAGATAGACAGCATATGCGTTTCAGGTTTGCAACGAAATGTATTTGCTATTTGTATGGCGTTCAAATATGAAGATGCAACAGAAAGTCGGCGTGAAAAGTTTACCGATTATTGGACGGTGCATGCTTATCAGATACGACGAAGAAACAGGTTTGATGTCATTATTTTAATCACTTTTTATTTTTTGTGAATACATTTTCAAGACAGCTTGATGTACAAATGTATAATTATCGTAATAAAATTATAACCTAAACTACCTTATGCAGTTCAAAATATCTGACTACGGCAGTACAAGTATGTAATTGTTTTATCGTACAGTGAAATTCTGCAGCAGATTTATCCCTAAAATTAATAGGGAAATGTTTTATGCGAAATGGAGAATTAGGTTATTCTGGCCATTTCGCACTCTGGAAATTCTCGGCGCGCGCGCACTCCGACTGTTTTTAACATAAAACTTATAGACTTAAATTGCAATACTGCAACTATATTTCCTTAATTCGTAAAACTGAATTTCTGATACTGTTTTTTTTAGAAATTTTTGCAAGATGTTTTGCGCGGTCCAATCAGCTGTTTTTATAGGCTGCAATATTTAATCTTCACATGTTTATGTTTATTGGCTTCTCGCATGCATTTTAAACGGGGACTGTCTAATATGTCTATACCACACCGCAACGGAAAGAAACGGAAACGACAAAACCGAGTGCGCAAAACCCGAGCGCTCCTGTTTGATGTAATACGTTATGCAGAACGAACACATGCCGCAACACATGCGTAGACGCATTGCTTTCCTGGTAGGCTGTTGTCTGTTCTACGCCTGAACCTTCACCAGGTGAAATATACGGGCTTAATAATGTTTTCTCTAGGTATGCTGTCGTTGCGACAGGATACGGGTTTGAAAGTATGCTAGTTTCTTTTCGACGCGGATTCGGCTCCGTCTCGAAAAAAAACGCAGCATCACCGTAGACGGCTCCGTTGTGGTACGACGGGTCACGGTAAATGGTCAATGGCCTGGGATATTTCGCGGCTGGCATCGCATATGTTTGACATGGACATGGTCGACCTACGTATTTCCGTTGACAAATCGGTGAATGCAACACTGGTTAAAGATTCTGTTGGGTTATCGCACAAAGGACAGGAAAGACACTCACTGTGTCACATCTGTCTTATTTTCGGTAATCTGGTCTAATACACGATATTCCTGAGTCATGGTCCAGGAGAAACGTGTATTAAGTTAGATTCCCAAAATTCCCTCGACGGAGAGAATTCCCGGGACAGCCATTCCTGCCTAAGTTATAAATATGAGGATGATAATGATCGTAGTGCATGAGAGAAATGGACGTTATGATTAACCATATGCAGATAGCAGATCGGTACTGTACTTAGAAATTTCTTTTATAGCGTTGTTATAGCGCATCGTTTTGTTAGTTTTTTAGTTGTCACGTTTTTTTAACTAGAAAGGTCAAACCGACAAACACCGGACAGACAAACGGCCCATGCTCAAACTCGGACCTGGACTCGGACTTGGACTACTAAAACTAGGATTTGGACTTCACTTGGACTCTAAAACTTGGACTTCACTTGGGCTCTAAACTCGGACTTGGACTCGGACTTGGACTACTAAAACTAGGACTTGGACTTCACTTGGACTCTAAAACTTGGACTTCACTTGGGCTCTAAACTCGGACTTGGACTCGGACTTGGACTAAAACTAGGACTTGGACTTCACTTGGACTCTGAAACTTGGGCTTCACTTGGGCTCTAAACTCGGACTTCACTTGGACTCTAGAACTTGGACTTTATGACTTGGACTTGGAATTAGGCGTTTCTTATATGTTTCTTATGTCTTCTTACGTTTCTTCATGTTTTCTTAGGTCTCTTAGGTTTCTTAGGTTTCTCAGAATACCAAAGAATACCTAGATAACCTAAGAAATGTTAGTAATCTCAGAAACCTAAGAACACCCAACAAACCTAAGAAAACCAAAGAAGCCTCAGAAACCTAAGAAACCTGAGAATCCTAAGAAACCTGAGAAAACATGAAGAAACGTAAGAAGAATTGAGAAACGCCTAAATCCAAGTCTAAGTCATAAAGTCCAAGTTTTAGAGTCCAAGTAAGGTCCGAGTTTTAGAGTCCAAGTGAAGTCCGAGTTTTAGAGTCCAAGTGAAGTCCAAGTCCAGGTTTCAGTGGTCCAAGTCCGAGTCCAAGTCCGAGCTTGAGCGCGGGCCCAGACAGACAAACCGACGGACAACATAACACTGCCTTGACCTTTGCTTTGCATTGACCATTAATCGCCCATTCGTACTTATAATCATGTATTACAAAGTTTTCTTCCTTTATATATATTTATCTATTTGCGCTCATATCCAGTCTGTATTTAGATACTGAAGCGGAAGAAATATTAGTTTTGTATGTATATATACGCCAATTAATATACGAGATGCATCTCAAGTAGCTGTACGTGCATGTACAATGCCATGCGAGCAGTTTTATAAGGCTGTACCGACTTCTCTACGCTGATGTCTATATATATATATTTTCGATTATTCGATGCTCTTTTGCACGTGTAATTGTTATCGTAGTATCACGTATCTACGGAGATGAACTTTCACTCAATGTTTGGTATCTTATTTGGGTAGTTCGCTAGGCCAGATTACAAATAAAAACTGTCCACACTTGGCGCGAACGACCTGTATTACAAATGCATTGAAGTTATTAAGATTTTTGGGCCACAAAATTTTTTAGGTCACAGTTTCTCACAGGAACGCAAATTCTGGACCATATTCGGTTTAAACAAGCTACCCTTGTCCGAGGCACTGCGGCGGCAGATGCCGGATACAGATAATCATGAAAGTAGAAAATACGATTACAGCGCCGTTCTCTCAAGTGTTTTTCGTAGTGCGCTGAAACATGTTATTATTAGTCTCTGTTCTTCAGTTTTCCTTGCACCAGCCTGTTCTGTAAACTTTTTACCGTGTGTGAATCTGCAATTCTTCCCCTGTTAGCCAGGTTTGTATTCCCGTGCTAGATCACTACCCTAGCTTTTATGGGCTACCTCTCTGCCTTAACAGTGAATAAGGAACAGCGAACACTTCCGCCTCGGCCACCGATAAAGCCGCGATAACTACAAAGTAGGTGTCGAGGTAACTACAAAGTACCTGTCGAGGCTTCATCGGTGGCCGAGGACCACGAACAGCTTGTATGAAACCATAATAAATACATTGTTGCATGTATTGGTCGCGCTAGCGCCAGTTGTGCTTTAAGTATGAAGAAAATTTAAAATGTTTAAAATAGGATTTATACATATTCTCAAACATGCAAATACACGGCGGCGTTAATAAGCGGCGGCGGTGGCGTTCGATGTTTATTTTTAGGCGCATGGGTCCTTCAACGTGATTTGGGGCCGTGGGGCCCCACCCGTTCACCC